GCTCAGTCCAACGGTCAATAAATCCATGAACTGACGAAACTTCTTAGCTTATCGGCAGTTAAGTTTCATACCAGCGGAAATCACGCATTGAGGTAAATTGGATAAAGTCTTCATCAAACATGTACCAACCACCTCAGTATATGAAGATTCATAAATTCGTTTAAATTTTTCCCTAGTGCCGATGAACTAGAAAGAAGAATTTCTCGTCAACATACCAAAGTAAGCAGATCCGTAAGGATCAGTCGTGCACAGACAAAATCACGACATTATGGATCATCGTTGAACAATCAACTGAGTGAAACTCGTCACTATACGTCAAGTTCTTTGATTATGAGGAAGCATTTGACAGTGTAGATAGGAGGACCTTATGGGACCCTCTTCCAACTGAAGAGGAAATTAAGGAAAGACATTGGATGTGGGTAGGACATATATTGCGGAAATCATCAAGTTAGCTAGGTGTATGTTAAACTTCCCAACCACAGCGCCAATATTTGCGACTTTGTGTCAGGTACAGTACCTATCACAAGTGGTAGTCCAACGCAAATTCTACGTTTCCAGCTACACCCAGTCTAGATACTAGGAGGTCGAGAAGTTCGGTCAATTACATTTTGTATTTTTAGACTCATCATGTATCCTAGAGTACCAGATCACAATACAATACAAAATCGCGTTATGTACATAACCAGTTTGATATCTTTTACAGGTTAAACTAAAATATGAATCAGTCGTTCAGTAAATACATAAATGTATAATACGACACACCTGACGATACCTTTTTAAACACCTACATCTTGTATATAAAATCTTTTGTCTACTGTATGCGCAAACCCATGATATCAGCATTGCGAACACGATGAGAAAACTCCCTAATTATTGACAAACTTTACTTTCTGATGTCTTGTCGATTGAACGCCACTTATTATATCTGGTCGTCGCTGATTGTTATGTCGGAATCGCTTATCACTTATACTTGTAAAGCGAGGAACCACTGCGATTCCCCCGACGCCAAAATAATAACACAAAGACTGGTATAAGTGGAGATTTATTAAGTCCCAAAACACGACTATCCTAGGCGAAAATACACTCATTTATATATTGATTCATATACCCATTTTTGATTAATAATTAGAATAGAATTACATATATAAAAAATATCCAGAGTTATAACAAATCATATGGTGAGAATAGTTTATGTGCATTAGAATACAAGAACACCGTATATTATACAGAATAATATGTCATATGGGAAAATAGAAACAAATACTATACTGAATGATCGTTACATTGAATTAAAACGGAATTAATGTTGAATAAAGGTCATAATAAGTAAATCAATCTAATTTTGAATTTTCATACCGTCATATCACTTTATATAAGCGTTGAACTACTTTCTCTTTGTTTACTAGATGCTAGTGCGCTATATCAAGAATTGCAGTCTAGTACGCAGTCACGATACGCCTATATGAACTTATACACACAGTCAACGAAAGCCTTCTGAATTCAAATTCATATACACTTCTAACCCTTTCAATTTGTTTGCTGCATCCATCATTCTTGTTTGCGTAAAGCCTTGCTGTATATAAAAGACGACTTCACTATGCACATAGACTTTTTATATGTTAATCAAACAAAACTAACACTATCATCATAGGCAGCCTCAGTACAAGCACTAGAGCTAGAAAACCAATTTGAAAATCCTCAGGTCGTTAACTTATTTGCGGTAAGCGTAGTTGTGTGCAATACGTTTATCAATAAAAGCACGCCTGCCAGACGTGACTCATTCGACTCGTACGCTTCAAATGGACAACAATTAAGAAAAAATTTTAGGAGACTACATATGTTTCATAGGACGCGTACTTAATATGCCATCTTACTAAACCTGATCGTCGACACTTGGAAATGTAGCATTCAGACTGTATTCTCACACTTGAAATTGTCTTCTAAAGACTCTACATAGGTTACATGATGAACACTAGACACAGGAAATATTATAAATCAGTTAATTACTGCCTTCTGTTCCTAAACACTAAAACCACGTAACTACGAACAAGAAATTTGAGATCGGAAGATAATCGTTGGGTTCTATAGGCTTCTAGTGAGAACGGCTAGATTTTATCCTGAACATCGCATTATCTTTACTAAGCGGTATACGCCGTCGTTCGAATTACAACAATGTAGAGTCGACGGTTCGCAAATACAAGCCCGACATCCTAGACTGTCCAGTATAGTTAACAAGTACAAATGAAGCACGCTCGGTTGAAAGTATAAAAACTAATATCTTCTGAATTTGACCGACATCACACCACACTAAGTAGGGAATTTAGAACTAGTCTGACGCAGATGGTATTTGAAGCACGTTAGATCTTGCGTGCAAATATTTCTCAACGGACCGTGTCAGATTCCAGCTTTATATTAGTGAATGTGTGTGGACGTGACAAGTGAGATTTTGAAACTGTAGACATGGACCAGTCGACAAAATTGACTCCAACCAAATGTGCATGGTAAGGTCTCGCCAGAGTCATTTACGTAATTTAGGTGTAACTTGATCATCACTGTTCTGGCACATCATTTCAAGCTTCATTACTCCAGAGAAGGTCTACATCCATCACGATCTACCATTAATGTTTAGTGTCTTTAGTTAATACAAAGTCAATATCGACCAAAGTGTCGGTCAAAAAGTGCGAACTACTCAGTACCTTCGTATTGGAAATCCATCCCGCAGCTCAGACTATGGCTTTTTGCCTTAAGGTAGCTACTTTCTGTATCAAAACTCTCTATACATTTACCCTGGCCCCGTTTGTTTAGGCAAAACATCAGGACACGTATTAGATTTACTTTGGTTGTACGTTGTCATAGAGTCTGCGATGTTAGTCTTGGTGGAATAGCTCAAGATTTCAAATCAGGATATAGTGATCGCATGCAGTAGATGGTCGTTCTATTTGTAACTAATAATCCGAAAGAAAAATCAACGTGGGAACGAATTCAGATTACAACGAAACAGCTTGTCGTATTATCTTGTATATCATTTAGCAAACCTTTTACAACAGCTTATAAAACACAATCTCCTAGACGTAATGACGAATGATTAAAACTGGGGAATTACGTAAAGCACGTGTCCTATTCCCGAATGCAGGTTTACCGAGCGTTACATCCAGCTCACTTTGCACAAACTGATTAAGTTGCTGCACGATATCTGAATAACGGGCAACATTTTGCGGCGTGTAAGCTAACCTACTATGTAAGCACAACTGAAATGTTGAAAAAAGATCATCCTGTGACATATACATTGATATTGTCTTATACGACGCGTCATAAAGAAAACACTTTTAAACCATAACATTATATTTCATGGATTAATGACGCTCCTTAAGAATTTGATATGCCAGGCGGTCCAAATCGCGCCTTCCAGTCGATGTAAGAGATCTCCCGCTGAAATTAAAGTGTTTGAAGAGTTATTCCCAATGTTAAATGTTAATCAATCAGGGTTTAATCAATTGAAAAGACAGGACGCACAAAGGTATATCAACGTACAGAAAGTACTCATTTTACCAAAGCAGATTACGCAGTAGTTAATTCGACAGGCTCGTGGATTTAAAATCTTGCAAGTCGACAACCTAATCGAAAATCGCCTATTCAATATAACCGAGTTCATCAGGACCACGCACTTCTAGTGCACAAAAATTGCGTTTTCACATCGCGTCCTTGCAGTGTTAAAAGATAGACGCCTACACAAATGCTGAAGCTAGCAAAAGCACATATATTGACAAGCATTTCAAATTTACATGAGTATGTTATCAAGACTACCACGGGTACAATTTAGTCAGCGCCATTTTTTAAAAATGTATCACTGGGTCTGCTATGCTTAAAAATTTACATGACCGGTGCTACCGCACATACAGCAACAGAAGCAATTAGGACGATATACTGTTCAATACCCTTAATGCCAGTTGAATAAATTGAACTGGAGGTGTTTATTTATTCCTCTAAACTCACGATGGTTTATTTCATTTCAAGATCACATGTATGACAAAAGTTCAGCTTACCCATTTTCACGTTTCTGACACATTCCGAGTGCCTCCATTTGTTGAATGGCTTTCCTTATAACTGAGCAATGTGCCAGGGAACGATGGGATGGTTTGACGCCATTGCGCTTCTTTCTAGAGAATGCTTTGCTTAAGCCTGTCAAGCCAGTGGGTCTGATGTATAAATGCCGAAGGATAGCGGCACATCGAATATAAAACCAGTCAGGGTTATATGGTGCTAACTGGTTGGCTGATGATAGTTTCACCACGTCCGTCCAATCAGGTAGCCTTACCTTACCGGTTCTATAGTGCAATCAAGGAATGTTATGCATCTTACTTCTTCAGAAACTGCGCCAAAGCTTTGACGTAAATGTGTCCATCTACATCTTTAACGGAGACAGGAGCCTAAATGACAGAGATAGCAAATATTACAACAACTCACCATGCTTTCGGCAAACTAGTCCGCCAACTAGATTCAATTGATACAAACACCTAATGCATCACATGTACAATTGACAATTTTTTACCAGCAAAGTTGTGAAACTAAGCTGAATTCAGTTTTTAAGAGTTCATTTAATTCTTTATAAGTCTGTAATTATGGAATATACTTCACTCAACGTTATATTTTGACTTAGGAATTCATAATCGTCATTACTTGAATGTTCAGTGAAGTACAGATGGCAGACACATATTAAGGGATCTGAACTCTCTTACAATATATTTATTTGTTCGATGTATGGATTCACACGTGAAAAAATACAAAGACATGTATCCATTATGCAAACAGAATTATAAAATAATGAGTAGCCTTCGAGACATATGTATTAGGGATAAGCACAAACCAATACAGATTGAAATTAAGAGATTCACGCACCAAAATATGTTTGTAGGCAATGAACCAGTAATTAATTTTCCATATTGTGATCATATTATTGATGAGAGAAATACTTCCATAAAATTGATTCTTATTATTTCTAGATGTCATCTCTGTTGCCAACATGCAATATAGGTCAATTGTTTACTAATACCTCGACAAATACACGCGGTAACGTACTTATCCACTCTGCTTCAGTAAATCATGATTATAGTTGTATTAATAATACTTTTTTACAGACTTCTAGATTTTGTGCACCAGCCATCCCATCCATAACTTCATTCACAGACTTTGCAAGTTACCCTGAAATTTATGCTCATGCAACTTATCATTATAAAGACAAACAGAATCTAATCTTCACAAAACCTATTACTACAACTTTCTACACCAACTTATCTTCATCTTGTTTGTTAACTTCTCGAATATGTTCCTCCTCGTCGTCTTCGTCGTCATCTTCAAATATGAGCTGTGCGATGCATGCAGACGTACAGACACTTAAAAATTATAAAGAATCATCTGTTATTACATCAGTCAATAGTAGCTGCCCAATTGTACATCAACAGCATCACCGAAAATAGCAGCAATAACTATCTGCTGACGTAAAGTAATTTAATACATTCACTGTCGTTACAATTATACACGAATTTATGAGTGTTTTTCCTAACTTTAAATAAAGATACATGTACCTGTGAGATATATATTACTTTTTTCATGAAAATAGCGTTGTATTAAAAGAGAGAGGTTTCATTATTGCTTGCTTTTTTATTGGTTATTCTTCTGATACCTGTTATACAGTTAGTAAATTCCCCTAAAGTTGGCAAATGTCTCAAGTTGTTCGCGTTATATGCTTCATGTATATATATATATATATATATATATATATATATATATATATAGGGCAGTTACCCACCAAATTCATATGCATATGTTAAACTTTGTTCAATACAAGTATTGATTGAACCCATATTCACAATGTTAGTGCATCATATAAATATCTATAACCACCAATCAGATTTTACCATTATGCCTAACCTGTATGTCACAACAGTGGCCTAAATGTTGATAAGCCAAGAAAAATGACCTCCTTTTTAATAATAAATAGTAATGACTGTATTCCTAACTAAGTTTCCAATTAACTCCCTTCAGCATCATCCTCTCACGGGCGTATGCAGCTCTACACAAGAGAGAAAACAAAAACAGGGAAATGACTACGCAACGGATTAGATCAGTTACGTGAACAACAGAATAGGTCTGAAGTAATAAACCAGAAAAATGATTTCACTACTGGACCACTAAGCTCGTTCGTTGACATTTGTATTGTAGCATCAATTGTTGCCGATAATCATTTACGTTAGTGACTTAAGCAACAAATGTACCTCAGGTGTCCTGACGGTCCGAACGTCGCTAATCTTGATCACACCTTTGTACCTTTTTAGAATTTCCCTTACCGATAATACCAAAGACTAACGGGTCCTTCAGAGATAATTTTTCCATTATTCATTCCCCAGTTCTCATTAGACCTATCAGTGTCAGATTTGTTGTGAGTTCACAAGAAGTAAGTTCTTGAATTTGATTACCTTCCAAAACTTACTTTATGATAATTACATTGATTTATGGTAACTTTTATTTTCCTAACTTGACTGTGCTCATTAGAATACGGCTTTCGATCAAACGTTAGTGGAAGTTTACAGTATTTTACATTTCCCCTAGTTGTTGGTGTTCGTAGTTTTGCAACGGCTGTCTATTTTTATAGCTTTTATCTACCATCTTAATTGGATGTTTTCCTGAACTCTATCCAAATACTAAGAATTTTGCGTAAATATAACAGTTTGATTCAGAATATTGAGTCTTCTAAGTTAAGTAGTGTATGTTTGAGACGAATATGATTTTTATGTTGCTTTGCCATGAGATTCCGAGTTAAGTCGATCTGTAACAGCTTCAACTTTAGAAATGGTATATGATCACTATCAGTGTTGAATAACGAATGCAACAAAACTTAAACTAAAATTAAACAATCATTTTCACTAAATTTGGACCTAGATATATCACACTAATTTCATGCGTTTTCGTGTATTACATTTGCCCACAGTTCTCTGAATTACCATCTTGCCTGCATACAGATTTTCTAGTGACAATGTGTCCCGATACTTTCGGTTTTTCGTGAGGCATTTCTACCTTCTTGAAATCAACAATTATCGGCATACCATCGGAACGCTTTTGATAAGCCTTCTCAGCCTAAATATCTATTTAGTAAGCAATGTTATGTTTTTGTTTAGAGCTGACTCTTTGGATTCGATAACTTTATTTTGATACTAGGCAATTGTAAACGATCGGGCAAAACCCCTAAACGTTCTGACACAGAAAAGTCGAATCTACTGATACGCCACACCGAAAAGTGTCGACTAGCACTAAATCTGGAAGTAATGCTTCTTATTGTCTGTTTTCAATCACAATACGGATCCCTCTTTTTTTCAGTGCTAACCTAATTATTTACCGTTAGTGTTGTTTAAATCTGACCCCATTAACCTGACTCCGGTCATGTATGCTTCAAGTGTCTGAAGTTGTGCACATAAACCTTCGAGATAAATAATCTGAATTACGAAGGAGTCTCCTGTCATACACTTATTTTGTAATTGTCATAACATGAAAGCTGACTTAACTCTCATAACCAATATTTCATAAAAATTGAACAGGGTTAGTACAGGTTTTAAAGTCAAATTACTAACTCCTCCCTATCATTATCATCTCAACATCCTGCTTAAAGAGTTCCAACAATGTCACCTTCCAATTCTGTTGAACTAAAAACCTTCAACATTTGATATACGTTCGTGTAAAGACATTTAATGAACTAAAGTTTAGCCTGAATGAACATAGTACCCAGTTAACTTATTAAGAAGGGAGTTTTCATAATATTATTATACGAATGTACAAGTGATTACGGGGTCAGTGTTATTTTATTAATGATAGAAAAGTATGGACTGTACGCTCTAGTTGACAGACTGTGATGGTAAATTGATCCCAAAAACAAGAAGCTTAATAAGCCTTCGATGTTTACTCTGTTCATATTAGTTTTACCGGACACATTTAACTAAAGGCGGTAGGTCAAGTATCCTCTCTAAATCACTTTTGAATACACTGTGCAGCATATCTCCTATGATATCTAGTCAGCTCAGAATCCATACACTACGATACATCGACCTGTAATTCAAGCAAACTTTCATGTTCTATCATTATAGATTCCTGGTTCAATTAACTTAGGGATAATATTGAAACCATCCTCAAACTTTTAGCTACTGTACATTTTTTTGTTTGTTTGCCACAAGACTGAATGAGAATTTTCTGGACATTTAATATACTCTCAAAATGAAAATAATTTGCAATTTTATCGTGAGTTGATTTAGTTCTTGTAGATCCAGAGCATGTTTTGTCAATCATAGCTTAAATTGTTGCTGCCTAGCATTCTTGATTTGTTTCGTTGTACTCTATGTTGTTTCAGGAATCTGCGACGACCCTGAGTACATTTTTGCCATCTTCTGGTAATAATCAAGGTTTTGTGCAGTTTTTACCACATAGATGTCACATTTTCGAGAGAATCACTACGTATCGACAACGTCCAAGGCTTAAACCTCATTGTCTGAGTACATTTTGACGTTAGAGTAAAACATTTCTGAATAAAGAGGCTGTAGATTTTTCTTTATGGAATACCATGATTATCGGCAGTGGGCACATTTACAGATCGTTGGGATTCTGTCAATGTCATTATTTCATCAGCATAATGCATAATAACAGATTTATTATTGAAAGGTGAGTTTATGATAAAGCAAAGCTAATATGACGTCTTTCATACAAATATATTTCGTAGGTGAAGTTGATTTTCATCAACGCATCTAGAGTATCTTGCGTATACAACTGTTTATAAATATATGTACTTTTTTTATGATGGTTATAGTAGTTCTCAAAATTTCAGCTCCGTACAATAGTACTGTCTTGATTTTCTTATTGAAAATTCTGACAGTTTTTTGAGTTGCAGATGTTCTTCAATCTTATGAATGTTGGTCTTGCTTTGTTAGTCCGTGCCTCAACGCCTGCATCACATCCCGCTTGCTTATCAGTGATACTGCTGAGGTTCGTAAAAGTTTCCACCTCCAGAGCTTCCCCATGAAGTTTAACTTGGTTGGTCTTCGCTTTATATTTTAGGATATTACTTTTTCTCATGTGAATGTTGAGGCCTGCTGCTGTGGAGACTGACACTACTTTGACTGTCTTCACCTGTATTTGTTGCTGTGAATGGGATAGAGAAGCTAGGTCATCTGTGAAGTCCAAATAGTCTATCTGCATCCAAGCTATCCACTGTATTCTGTGCTTCCCCTCAGATATGGAGGTCTTCATGATCAACTTAACCACCAGAAGAAAGAGAAAGGGGGATAGTGAGCAGCTTTGTCTGTCATTGGTCTTCACTTGGAATACATTTTTGAACCGCACTCAATGCATAAAGTTGCAGTGCAGTCTGTTGTAAGAATTCCGTACGATTGTGACAATCTTCTCAGATAGATCATAGTGTCGAGGAACGTCCCATGAGGTCCTCCTATCCACTCTGTCGAATGCTTTTCCATATTTAAGTAAGTTGGTGCGTAGTGATGAGTTTCATTCGATTGATTGTGTCGCCATTTGGCCGGTGCATAGTCGATCCTTACAAAATCCAGCATGTTTGTCTAGAAGTTGAACATGTACTGAATCCTTCATTCGGTTTAACAACACCGTTTTTGGAAAGCATCACCACTAAGATAACGAGTAAATTTTGTACCCAGATGAACGCTATTAGTGACTCTGAGTTTTCCGACCCAAATGGCTTAGTTGCACAGCATCCATTGTCATTCTGAACAATGTCTCCAGCACCTACATGAAGTATACTTGACTAACCTTGTCAATTTACAATGAATGTATCGTTCTATCTCCAGCCCAAATGTGTTCACTAGAAACTCCAAACATAATGCTGATTGTTACGATACGACGAGTCAGAATAGATAGTGATGTTACTTCTGTGTTAGATCTTATATTTTAGGTTTTTAAATCACGACAAATCTACGATATTTGGATTAGGCCTATTATTCCATTAGTACTTAATACGAACTAGACCATGAGTCTACATCGGTGAGACCGACTAAAGAAACACAGCCTCCTATTAACCCTCATTTTCACTCCAACTTTGTCGATCGATTTTTACTTATGTTTGCTCATTGTTCTATCGGTCCTTTGATTGAGGCCCACATGTATTGTCGTAATGTAATATTGATTAGTAAACATATATTACTAACTCAATCAATATTAACAACTGGTTATCTATGTTTGTTATTAGCTACGATGATTCAGTAACAAGCCTTAATAGCATTTACATGCTTCGATGAAATTAACTTGTTAAAATATCAAGCACTAGCGAATATAGCCTTTCATTGTGTCGCCTGAACATGACCGGTTATTACAAGAAAGCTTAAGTAAGGATTACTGAATTGCTTAACAAAATTTGCCAACACTATCCACACTCGAGCTATTTGACTCCAGTTTTCGAACTCTGAGGATA